TTATAAATTTAGTATTTTCATAAAATCAAACAAAGACATATTTTCAGTAAATATAGCAAGAGTTGTTTTAATTGATCAGAATAGCTTGAATAATTTTAGAGGTAATGTTTCTTTTGACAGATAAAAACCGAGAAAAATTTCAAATAAGTTCACATTAAAAATATATAAGCAATAAATACAGCGCTGCAGTTACCATTGTCTATGTACATTGGATTATATGTCAACAAACACTAAATTCCTGAATAGCCATCTTCTGAATAAACACACTAACACAATTTTTGTAAAACTCAACAAAAGAGAAATTTTAGAAAATTAAAATGGGGCTTTCGCAAAGAATTGCAGAAAAAATGGCAGAGCTATGTCTGAAAAGCTAGAAATGTCCCAAATTAGGTTTTGGATAGCAAAGAAGCTCAGGTTTAAAAAGTATCAGATTTAGTCTTGAAGGTGTGATGGATCTTACTCAGCATTTCAAATCGAGAGTTTAACACAGAAAAATAATGGCTCTTGCACAAATCGGAGTGCAAAACTAATACTGAGTTCAGAGACTGGCTGCAGGTATGAAAGCTGCGCAGCAGCACAAGGAAATAAATCTCGTCGTCACTTAAGCTGATTCAAGCGGAGTGGACAGTAACTTGAAAGTTACTGAGGTGGCATTTGAACCCGCCTCGGGGAGCTGGACATTTCTGACTGTCGTGGTAATGCTGCCGTATGTGAACGCTCTTGGCAGAGGCTGTGAATCTGAGTAATAAATAGCTAAAAAGCAGTTTATTGCAAGAAAGTTTTGCATAATTTAGGTAGTTGGAAATTGAAAACAGATTGTGAAAATACTTTTCCATGTACGAATTATGAGTGGTAAATACATTTAATACACCATTTAATGTATCATTTCCAATTTTAATACTTTTTTTGACAATGTCAAATGATCTCTGAATTCATCATCTATTAACCATTCAAGAAACAATTTATGGTGACTAAACCATTAGTAGTTTAATCAATGACAACCTCAAAGTACATTCATATAACTTCTACCAAAATTGACTTTCACATTAGTCATTATTGTTTTGCGGAGGTCAGTGGCAAATAACATTAAGAAAACTGAATCCCTTTCAAAGGTCAATTTAATTCATTAGCAAGCCCAACTTTCATTGTAATTATTTTGTAAATATTCCACAATTCTTGCAATTAATGCATATTCAAGTCTTTCCTCAATCTGTGTTATGTACCATAGCCTATTAAACTGTTAAAGCATTGCATATTACATAAAGAGAGTGTTCCTATAGGTTTTACTTTTTATTTTCTGGGGCCATTTCAATACTATATACTATCATATAGTAAGAGTCACTAAAGTAATACTTTAATGGAGCAGGATCCATAAGATTGACAGCTACTACAGTAGTTCACTTAACACTTCTGAATTAGCATGTGAATTCTTCTAAGCACAAGGAGAAATACATCAAGCATACCTATGATTAAGGTATGAATCACCAAAGCTGTTATGTCAATAAAATAATGGCCTTGCATTTTAAAAATAAATATTTTATATTTTATCATAGATGTTTCTGTTTTTTTAGTTTTCAAATTTCTGATGCTGGCATCTGGTTGTCTTTAAAATAGTTATGAAATATAGAATCCCAGACTCTATTTTATTAAAAAATCAGCCCAGATACAGTATCAGATATTAACATGCATAACTTGCTTTGTTATGTATCTTCTTTTTAAAAATTACCTTGGTTATATATATTTGACTTCAGGCTACAAAATAAAATAATAGGATATTGACAAGCTAATTTTCACAAAAAAATCTGTTGTTTGTTTACAAAATCCCAAGATAATAAAAAAATCCTTCATTGATTTCCTTCATGTAGAATGATTGTTAATTTGTCTACACAGTAGAAATGGAAGGGGCAAAGCTCCTATGTACAGTTACAGAGAAAATGATTTTCCCCACCCTCCACTTGTGTAGTAAGATAGGAAAGTAGTTGACAATGTTTTTGAGAATCAACCAAGATATCTAATAATACAGAAATAGGATCACATATTATACATCCTGCTCACCAAGTTTGACAAGGAGATTTGTCTCAGGATGTAACTGTGATATATTAAGAAGTGAGTATATAATTCATTGCAATCCTATTCAGTCACTTTTTCTTTTTTAAAAACATAGAATAAGATAATAAGAAAAAAAAACAAATCTTTGATTCATTTGAGAAAGCATTGCAAAAAGGAGTTCTTTCTGGGCCAATGAAATCCAACTGGACCAATGAAAGTTGGATAGTGAGTTTTATAGTTCACAAATCAAAAGTAAAATTTTCTGCCATGTCTATAAGAGTTAGCCAGGTCTCCTTACATAACAAAAGTAGGGTCATACCCAGTGTGCGTGTGAACTTTTAGAGTTGTATTCATAGGTTAATTCATGCAGGGGTGTGCTGGAGCTGACACACAACAGCTCATGAGTTGATTGTAGTTTTTCTTTCCCCAGTTCCACATCGAGTGGTGTCAAGTTGGCACTTTGAAACAAGCTGTAGTGGAGAATTTACTGTCATACATAAATCAGGGCTTTCCCCCCATTTGCAGCTAGTTGTCAAACAATTAACATAACGCTCATTTCATTTGAGGTCTCTCTTTATGGCGTTCAAGAAATGCACTTAATACCGAAGTCTTCTGACTGTAAGATCATGGGTCCAAGTCCTTGAGCTAGAAGTGGCACAAAATAGACAAAGATTCCTCTATTTTCATATAACTAAATCATATAGCTTTTCTGACTTGAGGGCAACATTGTCAATCTCATGCATGCTTTTCCCGTTCAGCTGTTCACTGGGGCAGTCATGACTAAAGCCAGGAACGTCACTGATTGTTGACACCGTGTAAGATGCGCTGCGGAGCGCGTCCGAGTGGGAAAAGCTGTTTCCAAACTGGATTTTGTATTGGTTCCAGTTTCTCCTCAGAATTGCTTGAACCTATCAGTTAACAAAAGAGAAACAGAAAGAACAAGGGCCGTTCATTAATGGAAATGAATATATTATATCTGAAGCATCATAAAATACATGTTGTAGAAAATCTTGATCTCAAAGTTGGGTGTGATTGAATAATGCTGTTTCCTTTTCATGTTTAATTAATAATAAATTGAGTTACAATAGGATTTAATTGATGATTATGCCATGATTATTCTGTGCTTAATATTTCACTCATAGTTTATTTTTTGTCTTCTTTTTGAAGCTTCATTAATACTTATATATGTATCACCAAACATAACCCAGACTCCTGTTTACAAGGTTATGTGTACACAGTTTTGAGTAAACATTTTTTTTTTCTTTTTTGGTACAAAGAGTTGAACTCAGGACCTTGCATTTGCCGGGCAGCCACTTTGTCACTGAGTGGTATCCCTGGCCCAGCATATTTATGAATACAGTGAGATGCTAGGTAATGGTAAAATGAAAGACTACGGGAAAGGTACAAAGTAAAGACAAGTTAAAGACAAGACTGTACGTCATTGTCACCATTACCATTACTGACAGTAGCAGCCTGCCTTTGATTACCTTTCATAAGAGAATGAAAGAACACAGTATTTCTGAGAGTTTACTTCTAGAAGAATGGCAGGTGTTCAATAAATAGCTACAAATAAGAGGTACATTGTGAAAAGATGTTTAGGAATGTAATTTCAGGTCTGTATGCTGGGATCCTCCTCTTTTTGAATGGATTTGAGGTTTAATGACTCTTTTCTCCTTGGACCTAGAGATCAGGATTAGGTAGGTCACGTTCAGTGAACTTTGGTTTTAACTGAACTTAAAGCACATTAAGCACAAAGTACATTATTCATTTGAAGTCACTAAGTACAAAGGAGAATATTCAAATACATCTGGGTCTTGATCGCGTGGGAGTGGCATGGAACAGCCTGTTGCTAGGTTGCAAACTTGTGAGTCCAATCCCTGTGGTATGACCCACATCGGCCCCAAGTCTGCATTATTTCAATCATTTTCTCCAGGGTTTCCTATGATGTTTAACTTTTAGATTGTTGTCGCAAAGGGAATATAAGCCTCTTAAAGATAATTTCCAATAAGCAATGCACCATAAATATATTTATTCACTCATTTTAAAAATTTCTTTCTCTTTTATGGAAGTTCTCAACTTTGTGTCCATTATATTCATGTACACAAATTGCAGTTAGATCTTTCAAAGTGATTACTTATTCCTTTTCATTTTCTTCTCCAAATTACATACATTGTATAATAAATAAAGATTCTCGGGGTGCTTGCAACACCTTGTGATAGACGCTCCTGTAGTTGATCACTTAAAATGAACCCAATTTTACTATCTTATTTCATGTTTTAGTGTGTAGGAATGGAGAAAGAGTCAAGTAGAGTCAGCGGTTTCTTCAGGTAGAATTCAAAGTCAGTTACTAAAATTTCTTTGTGCCTGCTCTCAATAATGAAAAAAGAAGACAAGTGAAATTCTATAACTTGATTTTAAATATTATGATTCTTGCAACTGAGAGCTTTAAGGTTGATTTATGTCATGCAGGTTTTTTTTTTTTTTTTTTTTATTTTAGGGAAGGGTCTACAGGATCTACAGGGTCTCACTATATAGATCGGACTTGTAGTGATTTTCCTGTTTTCAGCCTCCCAAATGCTGGGATTACAGGCGTGCACCAACATTCCCAGTCTCAATCGCTGGCTCAGCGTGCCCCAGGGACAGAGTTAGCATGGCAGGCCGGGGGATGGAACCCCTGGCCCCTGTGTCTGCTTGCAGGCACTTTAATCCACTGAGCTATTTGGCCGGCCTTGTCATACAGTTATAAAAAGCCAGGAAATGATTTATAATCATATCTGCATACATTGAAAATAAAAACTATTAAAAGAAAATATTTGTATTTATCTTCAAAAATGATACTTTTGGACTGGGGAGATGGTTCAGTAGAATAAGCACTTCCCTGGCCAAGTGCAAGGGCCTGAGTTCAATCCTCGGTTCCACAAAAAAAAAAAAAAAAAAAAGATACTTTTCTTCCTTTTGATTTAGCAATTTGAAATCCTCCAAATTAAATATACAAAATAAAGTTACTTAATAATACTGCCTGTATATGTGATATGTTTAAGAACATAAGGAAATGGTAATTGGGAAGGGTTAGATTATAAGTTTTAAATAAATATTCACAGATTTAAAACAAAAAAGTAGCCAATTATCTGCACATTGGTGATGGGAATTATTTTGTAACTTCATTTTTAATATGCTTAACATATTTCTGTTCACTTTATCAACAGTGCTTAACTGATTTATACAGAATCAATAAAGCTTCCAATTAAGTGGAAACGGAGTATAGCTTTATATAAAAGATTCTCCATAAATGTTAACAAGAAGCTGACCAGAAATATATTAGCTCTGAGCCTTGAACTTGTGGTCTTAAAAAGGAAGGCTTTGATTTAATTCTAAAGGCAGAATTCCTCTTGAAATATTTGAACACATGCTCCTGAAATATTTTTAATGAAGGTCATTGCCCTACTTCTTCTTTGCAGCTAAACCATCAGAAAAACTATCCAAGCCAGTGTCCTAACGCTTGGGGTTTTATTTTCTGAGATTTAAAATAAGCCTAATTAAAGACAGAGCAGCCTTGAAGAGTTCTGTTTGTTTATGTTATTCTTTATAAGGATGTTACATTTTTCATCTGTTTCCTTTAATACAAGATTACACTCACTCCAGAGAACACTGAAGAGGCCACTAGAATTTTAATGAAAACACTGAGGGTAGATGTCCCAGAGCTGTTAAAAATATGAACACATATTTTGTTGTTTTATTTTTAAACGTTAAACAAATAGTAAGTCAAACTATTTAGAATATAGCCCAAAGATTATATCAACATGCTGAGGAACCAAGATTGTATTTGTTAGGATAACTTAGTTACAAGCTTATTTGAGCTTTTTGTAATAGTTTTACCTTGTTCTCATTACTTAGCGTTGGCAAGGTTGTTCTCAACAAGTTTTTTGCTTACTTTATACAAATGAGCTACCTTCCTCTGCTGGCAAAGTTGCCACCCTGATAGCCAGGACCTCAAGATATGCGAGCAACACTTATTTTTGTTTGAGTGGACAGGGCTGGGGAGACAAAGGGGCCACAGCTCTTGTCAAGCCATAGTTGTTACCCTCATGAAAAATGTTAACTAAAAACCTAAATAACCAGTCCGAGTAAAATGATACAGATATTAGGTCAAAGGCAAGCCACCAATGTGGAAAGGAAGAGAGGACCCACACTCGGGCACATGACTGCAGGAGGAACGTGACATAGTTGGAACCGTGCAAAGTTAATTTGGCCTCCGTTTCTCCTTGCTCTGAGACTGGGAAAAACTCAAAGGCGAAGAGACAGAAAGGGAGGGATTGTAGTATTTCTTAAGATGAGAAATGACTCATGCTTGAAAAGGGATCATATCTCCAGAGATGAAGGAAAAGAGACAAATCTTAGAGATGTTTTTGAAGAACTGAAGGATTTAGCAACTGCCTGGCTCAAAGATTTTTATTATTGCTATTTCTAGTGCCAGCATTTTCTCAATTTTAGGACATGGCGCAAGATCAAGGCTCTGTGTCTTGTGTTCACAGATAAAATGTAACAGGAGTGTTGGGCGTTAGTGTGGATACTTCCTGAGCACTCTTTCTAAATAAAAGGGCCAATGTGAGATACTATTCCAATATATTCTTTCCATTTGACATGTTGTTTTTAAAATAAATGAGTTATTTGATAAATTTAATAGTGAATCCATGACATAGTGAGGATCTCGCGAGGGAGAATTTGACGCAAAATTTACACTTACTAGCTTGGGGGAAGCTTGTGAGATTTGTTTGAGGAACTCGTTTTTATGAGTATTTGCCTTTAAGAAAGACAAATACTCCTAAATTAAAAACATTTCCCAAAATATAACATCCAGGAAGAAAGTAGTAACATTGAGGTTTCAGTATATTGGTACGCTTATTGCATACTGAAAAATACTTCGCTAGTGATATTTAGAATATCTAAAACTTACATTTATGAAAATAAAATGTGTTTCTGGAGACACAGAGAACATTTTGTATGTCAGACTCACTCTTTGGCAGTATCACGTCTGTATTGGTCGTACTATACACAGGCATTGGATGGCATTGTCTAATACTGTGTACAGCAGCACATTGATAGAACCACATGACAAGGGCTTTTGAATATTATTACGAAGATAAATGTTTTATCTATTCTTCCTAATTGTACTCTCTGTATACATTTCCCACTGATTTCAGGAAAAGAGGCTCTCTTGTCTTTGGTGTAGAAGAACTATGGGAGGGCCGCACAAAGGTGTGACATGTCATGTCCTATGATGGTCCTACACATAATTATAAATAAATATCTACATTTTGAAGTCTGAATAATTTTTTTTAATTTTTAATTATAACTAAGGAATAAATTTCAGTATGCAGCAAGACAAAGAGGTAAAATCTTATATAAGCAAAGATAGAAGATATTTGATAACCGTTCATGATGTGTACACCATTTCAATATTGATGCACTTTACATGAACAATTTTCATTAAAATTACGCATGGCTCCATGTGTTTCCCACATCAAGCTTTTTGATCATCTTTTCACTTCTCAGTCACCCATCTCTCATCCCATGTAGTTGCTGTTTGGATTTTTAAGCTTTGTTAGGCTTTGCCAGAATTCCTCAGGCTAAAATTTGTCAAGTAGATTACAAATATGTAAACCACTGACTTCCAACAATATTTGTATGCACAAAAATACAGTACTAGTTTTAAAAATTTCTGAAAGCTACCAATAGGAAAGTCTTGGGAAATAATCAAGAGATATCCAAAACACATGGTCAGGTTGTGAAGAACAGCATTTTTTTCTAATTTTCCTAACTCTCTTCTCCCTGATTAAGTGAGCATTTAATTTGTCTTAACATTTCGTATCCTATCTTCTCAAACCCATATTGTGGAGCCACAACAAGAGAGCCAAGGGAGGTGTGAACTCCACTTTACATTAGAGTGTATGCTTGTGAAGTTAAGAATTTTTAGCATGGTACCAGGAGCAAAGTCCAGATATCCTAGGATCCAATGGAAGGCAAAAAACTAGATGAATAAGAGCCACTGATAAAATATTTTAAAGGAGGACAAACTTCAATATGACCTGAGATTTTGAGGATGACATTTATGCTTATGGAAAATATTCTAGGTCCTTGCTTTTGATGGAGATATTTCAAATGGTTACTTGTGGGAAATTTTATTTCTACCTCATTTTAAAGCAAATAGAATAATAAAAGGAATAAAATCAACCAACATACCTCTCCATTAAAAAAGCAGAAAATTGTGGAGACCAAAAGACCCTGTAAAACAAAATGGAATTATCTGAAATCAGTAGAAGAAATACGTGTATGTGTAACCAAGTTGTTGCATAAGTAGTTAAGAACAAAACCAAAAGTATAAGCAAATTTAATCTGAATTTCTCAGAGCACCTTCTTGGAGCCGGGAACTGCCTACCTGGAAGTGCATGAGAATGTGCATGATGTAGTCGTAGACCTCCTCAGCTATTCTTCCCTCAGGCCGCCAGGGCAGCAGCACAAATTCGATGCCAAGCAGTGGGACCAGGATCAGAGTAGCCCTCACAGCTTTCATGTAGAGATGGGATTCGGCCTGGTGCGTGACTTTTAACTTAGTGATGAGAACACGCACAATGTTCAACAAGAAGAAAAGATTCACCTAGAGAGAAAATAAAATGACAAATGAAAATCATTTAGTATTGGAAAGCAGGGTTGGAGCTCTAATGAAATAAGTCTTAGACTATATATAATGTACAAGGAGATGTGTCGTGGAAGGGCTTATTTCTCTGAGATATTAATTTGATTTCTGAAATTGTGATGTGTTCACTTTATATGTATTCTAAGGATTTTAACTTCTAGAAAAATAAAGTTGATAGTGATATTGTGAAGAACATCTAGCTGTGAAATACTTGAAAGCCTTTTTTTTTTTTAAATGTATTTAGTACAAGGTCTACAGAGTCTCATTATGTAGATTGGACTTGTAGTGATCCTTCTGTTTTCAGCCTCCCAAGCGCTTGGCTACAGGCTCACACCACCATGCCCAGTCTCAATCGCTGTTTCAGCATGCTGCGGGGGCAGGGCCGGCACAGTATGCCAGGGATTGAACCCCCACCACTGCGCCCTGCCTGCGCAGGCGCTTTAGTCTGCTGAGCTATCTGGCCCACCCCAGGAGAGTTTTTATCAGCTCATTTTCTCATGCAGTATTTTCAACTCTAAGAATTACTTGAATAATCATTGAGCTTGTGTCAGCGTTGATCCAGTATACTCTGTAAATATACTGGGCCACAGTAACTGTTTTCAACCTTTTGGTTCATCTTTGCTGTGCTTCTTCACTGCATAATCCTATTTATGACAATATTCTGTACACCAGTCCTACTAGAGCCCTCCAAAATAACACAGTAATTTTATCCTTATGAAGAAACTTAGTCATAGATTTCAATCAATAGACATTGAAAGTTGATTACACTAAAAAAAGTAATTTGACCTCACATATTGCAGTTCTATTAATTACTTGCCTTAATTACACATTTACTATTTACTCTGCCTGAACAGCTTTGACCAGGAAATGACAGACTCTGAAAGGGAGACAAGTTGCCATCCTAGAGTCCTGCTGCTATTTTGGAGGGCTCTAGTAGGACTGTTGTACAGCATATTGTCATAAATATGTTTATGCGGTGAAGAAGCACAGCAAAGATGAACCAAAAACATCCCCCCACCTTGTCTCTAGATACTACTTTCTCTGCTTATAATCACAGAAGTCCTTATGCTTTAAGTTCTTACCCATTTCTCTGTGCCTTTTCCTTCATTGCTGATGCCCACCCTTGGGTTATCAATAGTAACTGCAGAGAGCCCCCCAAGGCTGATTGCTGCCCTCTTCACTTTTTCTCCCCTGATTGCAAGCATCTGTCCCTAACTATCTTAAAATTTTAAACCTCAAATCATTATTTAATTTCTATCCATGTACATTATAATGTTTGATGATGAGTGTATTTGGCATAGTAAGCAAAGCCCAACTGCATCTTGAAGAAATGAACAAGTAGAAAACATGCACTTTCTAATTTAAGGCACGTGTTCAGAAATAAGTGGGCATAAAATGTTCCACAATTATTTTTAGAGACTTCAATGTTACATGTACTGGAAGAGTAAACTAGAATCCTAATGACAACATGTCTATGAAAAGGAACAAATTTGTAGACAAAAATGCGATAAAGACTAAAGAAGAATAAGATATTTGAAGTGATGTAAGAAGGAAGCACAACGAAGCTACTTGTCAGCTCTAATCCTATTTACCCCCTCCTGCAGTCCCTTCCTCAGCATTCATTGCTGTTTACAAATTTTGATTAAATAGAAACTACTACCATAGAAGATAATAATGTGGTGTTACATAGGCTGAGGCAGGAGGGTTGGAAATTTGAGCCCAACTTTGGCAGCTTAACAAACTAGTGAGGCTGTGTCCCAGATAAAAAGTAAAAAAGGAGGTGCTAGAGTTTGTCGCTCCATGAAAAGGCCCTGCTTCAACCCCTATCACCACAAAATAATGATACTATAAAGCAGCTTAAAATTCAAATATATAAAATACTAAATTATGAAACAGTGTCAACACTGAAACTTAGATCCTTGTGAAAGGAAAATGTCTTAAATTCAGAGTAATTCTCCAGCATGGCAAGTCTGACTAAAAACAAGAAACTAAAAGTAGAATTGACAATGGAGCTCATCCTTGTTAGTTATTCCCTAAATACTTGTGGTAGAGTGAATTGGATGACATTCACCACTCTCCTGCCCACATAATTGTGATCCTTACTTGCTAGTTTATTTTCTGTAAATGCTTTCACAGGGCTGGCCAAATAGCTCAGTGGACTAAAACACCTGCAAGCAGGTGCAGGGCTCAGGGGTTCAATCCCCTGGCCTTCCGTGCTGGCCCTGCCCCTGGGGCACGCTGAGGTTGCAATTGAGACTGGGCATGGTGACACACGCCTGTAATCCCAGCTCTTTCTTGGGAGGCTGTAAACAGGTGGATCACTACAAGTCCAATCTAGTACTGAGACCCTGAACACCCTGTAGACCCTTCCCTAAAAAATTAAAAAAAAAAACCCTTTATATATGTTAAACAAAAAATAGAACTCTAAATTTCAGATGAACTGTATTTGGATTTTTAAGCTCCTTAGAACAAACTTAGTTAAGAAGAGATCGGTTTTCACTGTGACAGTCACACATTTCAAGAGCAGGTAGGCGCCAGGCCACGTCACATTGCCACACTACGCTAGGGCCACAGAAGGAGGCAGAGTGAATCAGTACAGTGGCTGGAGGAAGACTCTTAGAAGATATGTTCACACAAAGATGGCCTGGGGTCCCTTAGCTGTTCCCTGAAGTGACCTAAGTTCCTCTCACTGAGCTCAGATTGGATGTATCCTCTCTCTAGTTCCCCTCCGTAGGATCTGAACATGCTATGCTTTGCGGGACCAGGCTGCACAGGGCAAATTTGATGATGGAAGTGTGGGCAGTATTAAGTATTTAAATATGTTTAAATATGTTTAAATATATTTAAATATTTTCTGATTAAAATATTTTATGTATAGAAATTGTTTGGAGATCTATGATCATAGGAATAATTGCCAGATTCCTCGCAGGACCTTGGGGTTGGTACAGCTGACGAGGGGCCCTGGGGCTTACACAAGGCTGAACAACGAAAACTGCTTGATGGAGTAAAAAGCTCCTAATCTTGCTTTAGAATAGTAAGATGCAAAAACTTCTACACAAATAAAGTGAATTTTAGCTGCTTCTCATAGCATGAGGGACTGAGGCAGGAGGATGACCCAGACAAGAGCGCTGCCAGAGCTGCGTCCTGGCCCCTTCGCTTCCTTCTCATTGGTCAGCTCCACGGGCTGTGCTCCGCCACGATATTTTGCCCTGGAAACAGCGTCCTGTCTTCTCTTTCAAAGTTGGTGCTGTAACATTTTACCTAGGCTTGGTGCTCTGTTTTCCTGTACCTAGTTTATTTTACTTAACATAATGTCCTCTGTACTGGCCATTCAATCATTTTTATAGCTTAGTAGTATTCCATATCTATCTGTATCTGTATCTGTATCTGTATCTGTATCTGTATCTATATCTATATCTATAACTATCTTTGGTTGGTTCCATATCTTGGCAATTGTATCAAAGTGCAAAGCCCAGAGGTATAGGGTAAGTCTTTGCTAGATGTGAAGTGTTTTTTCCAGATCCTAAGGTTATTATTCTATTTTCAATTTTGTGACAATCTTCTGTATTATTTTCCATAATGGCAATATTAATATACATTTCCACCAACAGTATATGAGTTTCCTTGTATCTGATTCCTTGATAGCTTTTTCCCCCTATAATATTTACTTTAATCAGGATGCAATGATGTTTCATTATGGTTTTGAGTTGTATTTCTGTGATGCTTAGCGATATTGAGTATTTTCTCAGCAATACACTCACTGGCTATTTGTATAGCATCTTTTCAGAAAAATTCCTTCAGACTATTGTCTCATTTTTAAATTAGATTTGTTTTTGTTTGTGGAGTTGCTTGATGCCTTACATAATCTGAATATTCACCTTTGTCATTTAAATATTTCACATACATTTTCTTCCACTTTGATGTTGTCTCTTAACCCTATTGTTTTCTTTGCCGTGAAGAATCTTCTTAGTTTTGTGCAATTCATTTGTCTTGTTTTACTTTCATTGCCTTTTCTTTGTACATCTCAGTCATTGCCTGCATCAGCATCTTCAAGTGCTTTGCCCATGTTTTCTTATAATCATCTCATAGCCTTGGCATTCACCTTCATGTCTTTGATCTATTCTGAATTGGCCTTTGTGCGTGGAGGGAAGTTTAGTTTAGCTTCATTCTTCTGTAGGTGTTTGTCCAGTTTACTTAACCCCATTGTTTAAAGCAACAACCCTTTCTCTGATGTATGTTCTTCAAAATTTTGTTAAACTCGGCTGGCATCTCTTCTGTTTCTTTGGTCTGTGTGTCTATTTTTACACACATGACACTTGGGTTTTATTACTACAGCTTATGTTTTGAATTCCCGTGTCATATTGTCTCCAATAGTGTTCTTTGTGTTCAGGGTTGCTTTGCTAAGTCTAGATCTTTTGCATATCTTTATTAATTCTCTGATTTTTTTTGTACTCTAAAGACTGTCTTTAGTATTTTCACAATTATTGATTGAAAGCTGTAGGTCACATTCAGCAGCATGGGCATTTTAAAAATGTTATTCACTCTAAATCCATGAGCATGGATGTTTTGTGTGTCTCTGCCATGATTATTTAAAAAATGTTTTATATTTTTGATAGTGGAAATCTTTAAGTTTCTCATTAAATTTGTTCCGTGTGTGTGTGTGTGTGTGTGTGTGTGTGTGTGTGTTAATTGGGATTGCTTTTCTATCAGTTTATTTTTTATATTTATTTATTTATTTATTGGCAGAACCGGGGATTGAACTCAAGCCCGAGCTTATTCTACTGAGCCATCTCCCAGACCCCTATTTTTATTTATTTATTTTTGTATTTAGTACAGGGTCTACAGGGTCTCACTACACAGGTTTGACTCGTAGTGATCCTCCAGTTTTCAGCCTCCCAAGCACTGGAATTATGGGCGCGTGCCACCACGCCTAGTCCCAGTCACCAGGTCACTGCACCCTGGCATGGCACGCTGAGCCTTGGTCCCTGCGTCTGCCTAAAGGGGCTTTACCCTGCTGAGCTATCTGGCCGGCCCCCTCTATCAATTTATTGCTGATGTAAAAATTACTGTCATTACACTGTCTGTTTTCACATAGGGGGAAACTAGAGCATGGAGTGACTACTTTAACAGTTTACCTAACTGAGGTCAGGCATCAAGCAAAAGGTGGTAGAAAAACGAGCCAGGCAGTTACCAGAAGTTTCCTTCTGAATTATAATAGACTTTTAAGTAGGGCTTGATACCAAAATATATGAGCATAGCCCGTGCTGTATTATAGCACATTCATACCCTTAATTGAAGGTAGCAAGTCTACAAAAATAGTATGAAAATCTATACATAAAAATGAGTCTGAAATTAGATTCAGGTAGTTTTGAACATGAATTGAAAGATGCGCCACCTATTTATTTATTTATTTACTTGGTACCGGGGATCAAACTCAGGACCTTGGGCTTGCCAGGCAGGTGCTTAAGCCACTGTGCTATCTCCTGAGCCACCTGATTCTCTTAACTATATTTTAATATCAGCTATAATTAAGGCTTCTCTCTTAGAAAATCTAATTGACTTACAATCTCTAACGCGCTATGAGAGAACCATGCTAATTTATCTTGGTTCGTTCACTCATCAAAATTACATGATACAAGCACTAAAAGTGACTTTTGCTTTCCGAAGTGAGCCTAAAGACGTCCGATGGAAGCATTCACATTGGGACGTTTATTAGAACCACCTAATTTAAGCAATGATCATTTTTTCAAGCAACGATCTTCGATCGAAGGTTTTTGTTCACGAGAACGCTTGGCTTACGCGGAGGTGCAGGCTCTTCTCGCTTGCCCTCCGCATTCACAGTCCTCTGCTCCGCCCGAGCCTCGCTGCTAGGGCTTTCTTGCCTTCTGACCTTGGCTATATTTGGCCGGTGGAAGGACCCGAGAGATCAGGGTGTAAGAAGAGAGCAGCCTGAGGATTTGTTTCTGCTGCATCCTCCCTTCCGGCTGCGGTTTGGCAATGGCTCTTGTTGGGTGATTTCCCGGAACTTGTCCAAGTCCAGGAGGACCGCCTGGCGCTCTCTGCCAGGGCAGGGGTGACAGCAGCTGCTCACCGTGGCTCCCGTTGTCTGAGCACCCCGCGCAATCCAGTTCCTCTGCCCCTGAGCTCACACCTTCAACAGAGCACCTCCCTCAACCCTGCTCAGTCCAGCACGACGAGCTCACTGGGCCTAACCACCGGCAGCGGTAAAGTATCACAGCTGGATGATTCTGGAAATGCGCACATTGGTGAAGAAAAAAGACTTTTCTTTACATACCAGTAAGGCAGCACAAATGGGGCCATGGATAATGTAGAGGAGGTGGGTGTCAAAACTAATCCAGCAACTAGGAGAAAAATAAAGGCATGATGTTAAATATTTTCATTTTACTGAGTTCTGATAGAAATCATAAAGGGAGAGATCTTACTTGTCATTATAATATAAGCTTCTGGCAATAGCGTGTATACAGGCAGGAATCAGTGGAAATCCTATAAATAGCAAAGAAAAAGAAGTAGGTAACTTTCACTATTGATTGCACTTCTGAAATACAAGATGAAATATGAAACTCAGAGATACTTTAGGAACAAAAGTTACTGGCCATTATTTATTTATATAGTAAGTGTTACCTGTGTAGTTCAGCAATAAATATGATAAACTCCGAGGAACCAATATTCCTGTATTTCTCTATATATGTACATTTTATTCTAATGTAAGTCATTTTGAATCAGTGTACAGCAGAGCTTAGTGAATAAGTTCACTGACTAAATCTCAAAGACTATAAGAAATTCAGTTGTCATGTATTTTCTGTGAAATAGAATTGAGTAAGTTTGCAGATGACCAAATGCGAGAGAATTGAGACATGAGAATTTCTACAGTAAAGCCAGATTCATACCCATTTTCTGAAGCACAAAGAGAAAGAAATTATTAATTTATTTTAGGACAGTGTCTCATTCTATAGTTCAGGCTATCTTTGGGCTCACTAAATAGCCCAAGCTGGCCTTGAACTCACAGCACTGCTCCTGCCTCAGCCTCCTGAGTGCTGGGGTTATAGGGTTCACCATCACACCAGTCAGAAATTATTTTTTGTACCAGAAATGTTATATGTTTTCAGCCTTCAAATCTGATCTCTCAAAAATGAGATGAGAAGGAGCTGAGGAGATGGCTCAGTACAATAAGTGCTTCCCTGGCAAGTGCAAGGGCCTGAGTTAATCCCCTGCTAAACCAAAAAAAAAAAAAAAAAAAAAAAAAAAAAAAAAAAGAAATGGGGTTATGCTATTGTATATTGAATAACATTGTATATATGTATACATGCAATTTTATGTTTATATCTGGATTTAGACAGATGGTAAATGGACGAGAGATGTATAAATAGATAAATAATATTTTAGTTTTGTTTCTGGGAACTAGTTCCTTTTAATAATTTGTAGACATTTATATTTTGTTTTTCTTCAATTGCTTCTTCAATGTGGCCCAGTGTATCACTGTTTCATAAATAATACTGTCATGATATCATGTGGGCAAAATAGAGCCTTTGCGGGCCTTTATTTAATATCAGACACTTCTAGTCTAACTTCAAAATGACAATTTAATACAAACTCTCCTGTTTTTAGGATGGAACCTCAAAGCTAGTTAAGCCTGGTATCCGTATTGTGTACTGCACGAAAGGAAATTCAGAACAGTGCAAAGAGTAGCTCCCTATGGCGTGTTCTTAAGTCTAGTTTTTGACCACTCCACCCTCAACCACCATAAACTAGTCACTGGGACGATGGACATAAAAAGG